ATATTTCTATATAAAAAGTAGATTTTTTATTAGTTTTCACGTTGACGAGTGAATGGAAAACGTTGAAAAATCAAAATCGATATTTTTCGAGAGATTCAAGTTAAAAATTTAATGTTAAAACCCCCAAAATACCCTCCAAACGTACGTTAAAGTACTAATATTGCTTGATAATACTTATTTTGTGAACGTTTTAGTTAATTTTATTATTATTTATTGCAATTTCTGACTTAAATATGACAAAGTTAATTGAAAAAACAGAAAAAAAACTTCTTTTCAAAGTTGATTTTTAATAGTATTTTAGTACATTTTGTCCGAAGAAGTTCTATAAAAACAACTTTTCTTACTTCAATTGTACTTATCTTGAGAATCTACAATTAATTCATGTTTATCAAACAGGCGTTTTATAATTTTAGATTTTCTTTAATAAAGAGATTTTTCATAGTTTTCGATTCCCTAAACTGTGGTTGAAATTTGACTGAAGGAAATCGTGTTGTTTCTTCCGAAAATCAATGTTTTCTGCAGAGAATTCTTGAGGCAAGATAAAGAAGGAATAAATCTCAACTGAATCATCTACAAAATATCCTCTTTTTATGCGTTTTCTTTGGCGTCTCGTCCGCCTAATTCTTGTGTTCTCTTCTGACTCCGTTGTTGCCTTCGGTTTCGCATTTTATGGTGATTTTTCATGAAAATTTGCAATTATCCATTGTGTGCGTGTGTGTTTGTCGTGAATGTGAGTTCAAAGCGAGGCATAAAAATGAATTTCTCATGGAAATCCCTTCCAAAAACAGAGACCTTTTCAGCCACTTGTGATCACAATAGCATGATCACCGCTTGCAATTTTCAATTTCAATGATGTTTTTTCTTCTTTATACGAGAAAAATTTTGCCATTTAATTGATGTGACGTCTCAGTAAATGAATATATTAATTAGTTGGCAATTTTCCTTCCCCCGCCAGAGTGTCACGGTGTTGTGATCATGTTCGAAGCGAAATCTTGACTCTCCAAAAAAAATAATACTGTGCAGGAAAATTACGAAGAAAACAAAGAGAAATTTCTATTTGCTAAAAATTGCTCACAATTTTCTTGTCAATGTGCCATAAACACACAGTTTGAAGTGGAATCGAAAATAGCCTCCGCTATATCTTAGCGATAAACTAGTGAACAGCGTTGCCCCTTCAATGATATATAGCCTCTGTCATGTTTAACATTATCAGCTGGATGATAAGAATAATAAGCCACTTTTTTCTCTCTCTCTCTCACTCTGTTATGTGAAAAAATGTGAAGAGCAGAGAAAAATTTTCAACACTAGTGCCTGATAAAATCCGTAGAGCGTGTAAAGTTTGTAAATTTTTCATCTTACTTTATTTATTTAACAAAAAACCTACAGTTTCCCCTTATCAAATGTCGGACTTTTCATGGCTTTTGTACGTTTGAGTGTGAATTTGATTGGGAAAAGATGAAAAACAGATCATCTTTGGAGACTTTCCATAAACAGAAATTACTTTCTGAATGAATGGAATATATTAAAATCTAAGTGATCAAGCGATTCCCAAAATAGCAACAAAACAACGATAAGACTTTTCAGCATAACCTTAAGTGACAAATTTGTGAGCTTTTGCTGATTGTTAATGAATGCGCGCGCTTGTGAAAAAGTGTGAAAATTTCGTAAAAATTTTCCCCAAAAATCAAATAAAGCCATTTCAAATGCTGCTGAGTTTCATCATATTATTCATATTCAAAACTTTTCATTTCAACCACACACACAAACACAAACACACTTGAGAAGAGAGATTATTTGCCTTTCAGAGTCTCTCGTGAGGTTGAAAAATGCAAAAATCTTGTGTAGGAAAAATTTGCGCGAGTTTATTTGCGTCACAACAAAATTATGATAATTGTGCGAAGGAAGGCAAAAAATAATCACAGTGTCTCGTTTTCATTTAATATTTGCCTTTGTGTATGAAGTCAAATTGAAATTTTACACCTTATTTGTCTTTTTAAATGCCAACATTTTTCTCTTAAATCACTTCTTCCGAGAAAAATCCAAAAACTCTTACTTTTCCATCGTGATCAACTCGATGTAAAAAAAACCTCTCAAGAACTACTTCATTACCGCAGTGTTTGTCGGTATTCTGACATGTATAAAGGAGGAAATAATGCAGCTAAACGGTGTACATCACTTTCTAACACTTCAATCATTTTTGTTGAGAATCACAGACAGTTTCAGAACTTTAGCAATGCTTAAAACATGTTTTTTCATATTTTCTCCACTTTTTTCGGAACTTCCTAGACTTTTTCAACCTCTTAAAGTATCATAACCTCAAATTTTAGGAGTTTTTGTCTTTAAAAGACGCCATTTTGATTTATGCGATCTTGAAAACTAAGTGAGAAATAGTGTTTAAGACATATTAGAAGTTTTCAGTGGATATTTTGATATGATTTAATTTTCAATCGGTCTTTTGGATCATAACCTAGAAATTTAATTCAACAATCTGAAAAATCCTTTAATGATACTCATTCGAAATCTTTTAAATGATAATCTGGGGATTATTAATTTGTTATAAATCGGTAATTAGCGGCAATTTGCTATTTTAAAGTAGAAAACCAATAAAACAGCTCTTAAAATAGACAATTTTGAGAGGTTAAGATCGACTTTAGCGTAATTACCACAGTTAAAAACATATTTTATTATTATTGCTGCAGTAAATTGCAAATTATACCAGCTTAGGCTCCAGAATGAATGATTTTGAAGGTTTATTAAGTGGTAAAGTCTGTTTTACATTCATAACATAACCTAAAAAGATGTAAAGAATAATTATTTTCCTTCAAGTATTGTGTTTATTCCTTTTTAAAGTGACTTTTGCACACACCATATTGAAAATATTGAACCGCTGAGCTGTAAAATACTCCTGCCCATAATATCTCCTCCTTGGCATATTTTGTACAAGAAAAAAAAAATGGGTGGAATAGAATTGAAATGTAATTATTTTAGAGTTCAAGTATTTGTTTGTTGGCGGTTGAAGCTTTATTTTCAAGTGCAGAACGTGTCGATGGGATATTGTGTTTCTGCGTGACTTACAGTATAAAATAATACAAGTGCTGAGTTCTCAAATAAGCTAAGAAATAACTACTCATTACCTACGGACAACTTAACAAAGAGAGACCTATTTATAGTCATGCAAAGAGTCAGCTAGAAATATCTGTTCCAATAAAAAACTGCAGCTAATTGTATTTGAAAGAGATATTTGGCTCAGATCAGAGTCAGATTATTTAAGACTTGCATTTCCGTAAAGTTCCGATTATGACATTTTGGGGTTTTTAATCATACTGTTGTGAAGTATACAATTCGAAAAAAACAGGTCATGAAATATTCAGTCAATGTTTTGATCACTGGAAAATTAGAGGCAAAACGAAAAGAAAGAAAAAAATCGAGATTAAACCGTATAAAATATGAAGTTTTGAAATGGAAATTTTTCTCATGTTTTGTTGCCGCGATGGCACAATTATTGGCGTCTGGTAGTAATAATTCGAAACACACTTGTAACATCGGCAGAGAAATTATGTGATTATAATCGAGCAAATAGAGAGCATTCATCAACGAAACTTTGATAATTTTTGGTGTTTTGGGGAGGGAATTTTTCCACATTTATACACTTTGGCGGTTCATCTTATCATGCTAGACACAATAAATCTCCTTATCTGTTGATTCCACGCGAGATCGCTTGAAATGAGAAATATCGAATGAAATACGAAGAGAACTTGATGAAATTGCGAAATAGTAAGCGGAAAATCCCTGGTGATTAGCAAATGATTCAGAAGATGGGAAAGGAAAGTCTTTTCTCAATTTTTCCAACTAATTTTCCGTAGATTTTCCCACACAAAACTCCGTCCTTCAACCTTCCATTGGTGGCTAATCAGAGTGTATTTTACTCTAATCCCCAGATTTTTAGCTCAAGACCTGAAGAAGAAGAGTGAAAACATGAAAAAATTATTATCTATTTACTTCTTGTTGCTTCTTGAAATGGCGCTGAGGCTTATCGAAGACATTTCTGGGGAGATTTTCAAATATTGATAAGGCCAGGGATTCTCTCTTTCGAGAAAAGCCCTCTCATCAGTCACAATTTCAGAAAAATGCTTTTTTCACCCAAAATTCACATGAAATGCACAACACAAAATGACTCTCTTGCACCTCCTGCAGGGTTTTACAATTTCCAGACACATTTATGGTGTTTTCTTTAGTTATTCTCCTACAGTGGACGCCACAACATTGCGAACAGTGTTAATATTTCTGAGCTGCGTCACTGCTTTTGAATAACCGTTGGATTTTGCGTTGTTTCGTCAGTAAAAGTAAATTTTCAGATAATTTTCTGTCTTAGGAGAAACCGGAGAATCTCATTTGCTTATACTGAATTCATGGTGTTTCCAATGTGTTCATCGCAAGTGTGTAGTTTTTTTCTCTCTATTTATTTACGACTGTGATATAGTGTGGTATATAATGTAAATATGAAATGTGTGTTTTTATGTGTAGATATGTGCATATAGAGAGAAGAGCGAGGAAGAGGGCGAGAGAGAGAGAGAGAGAGAGGCAAAAACTGGTAGATCAGGCAGCACATCCAACGCATAATTTACTCTTTGGGTATACATAAGCGACGGGGCGACGTGAGTGCGAGCGAGACGGCGAAAGAGGGCAGCAGTGTGGTGTAGATGGCGCGGTGTGGTGTGACTTGTTGCATGTTTATCGCTTTCGTTATGTACTCGGGCATTGCTGAGCTGCGATCCAGCAGGCGAGCGAGTGTGTGCGAGAGCGATCGCCGCCCGAGAGCGAGAGTGAGTGAGAGAGGGCGCGAGTGGCGTAAGCGCGAACGCGAAGAGGACGCCACGATGTGGAGTTATGGAAGCCGCCGACTTGGATAGCTTGTGTGTGCGGACGCGTGTGTGCGTGTGGAACACAGCAAGCGGCGTGTGAGAGAACAAAGTTTCATTTTCAAAATCAGTATAGAAACAGACGGCGCGCTGCAAATACGTTCAACGGGGTCGAGCTAGCTTCACAAAAGTTGGTGCCTCCTCAGAAACACTACAAAAATTTTTGAAACTCGTTCTTGTTTTCATTTTTTCGTCGCCTATATTTCAAATATACTTTGCCAGCATATATTATTTTAAAACACAACAAAAAAATACGTTTTTTTTGAGTGAAGAAGTAGAAGCAAAAGAAAAAGACGGCGAGAAAAAGCACTGCAGCAAAAATCGAGTTTTTCTTTTTCTTTGACAAGTTTTCACGCAAGTTTTTCGGGTTTCTTGTTGTTGTTGTTGGTTTGCAAAAAAAGGAGAGAGACAGAGAGAGAGAGAGACAGAAAACACCAGGACAGGAGAGCAAATTTTCATGCTCTCAAAGACTCTCTGAAATAAGGTTGAAAAACTTGTGCAACTCTTCGAGTGTTTCAACATTTTTCCACCATCGTCAGATCTCTCTGTGTTGCAGAAAACGGCTATAGTTTTTTCAAAAGTGAGGAAAATCACACAACACAACCCCCAAAAAGATCTCTTTCTCCAATGCAAGAAGAGTCTTTGACAAGAAATCAGCTTCTATGTAAATGCAGAAAAGTTACAAGTTTTTTTCACGAGTTTGTCAGAAGGAAAAAGAAGGAAGAATTCAGCGGAGAAGCAAGAGTGACTTCGACACAATATTTGGACACCACGACGACGACAGGAGAAGAAATCGTGTGTTTGTCTCTTGTACAGTAAAAAAGAGTGTGGTACAAAACAAAAGCCTAAAAAAAAACATCGTGAAGAAATTTAACACTATAAATTATTTAATTAAATTAAAAGTTTAAATTATTGTCTCTTTGTAAAAAAAAACGACGGAAAAATAAGATAACCTAACAGTGATTTGCCGATCTCGTAACTGAAGCAACAATAATAGCTTTTTTTTCTTAGCAATCATATATATAAACCTAATTAGGGAGGGAGAAAAGTGTTCTTTTCGCAATTTCAACAGAAGTTCGTGAATGTGCTCGTGTTTCTAAAGTCCTTTTATTTGTGGAGGGAGAAAGAGAGAGAGAGAGAGAAGGAGAGGCACGAAAATTCTGAGAAGAGATCTTTGCTGGTCGTATAGAAGTGCGGTATTCCCAGGTAGATCAACGATTGACAAAGGGAATTGAAAAAGTGACAAAGATGTCTACAGCCATAATGCATCAGACGGCATACTATGACTTCGGTGATTTGCTTCTCAAGGTAAGTATTTTTTTATACTTTTGTGCGCTAGAACGGAAAAGTCTGTATTTATTAATATTATTTGCAAAAGTAACCTTTTTCTCTTCTCTCTGTGTTTTCTTGCGTTTGTTGGTGAAGTCTCAAGGTTCGCCAATATCCAAGGGTTTTTGGGGTTTGCATAGCATAGGAAACATGCCAATATTTTAAGTTTTCTTTGGGAAAAATATTGCAAATTCAATGGCGACACTGAAGTTGGCGAATGACAATATTGCTGAAAACTGAAAAAGAGAGAAAAAGAAAAAAACCTTTGGAACTACCCAAATACATTGAATAGGCTTTTTAGGCATAGAATATGCATTAAAGGTGGGAAAAAAATGGTTGAGAAAAAGACAGAGTGAAAGAGCGAGACGGCGAGGTAAATAATTTAAAAGTAAGCAAACAACATTTGTGTTGTGATTCATCAATTGCAATACATATCAAAAGCCTCAAACTGACTGTAATTTCCGTTTAGTGCGACTTTTTAAAATTGTTCACTTCAAACCAACCTATTATTTTCTCTTATTTAGCTGTTCTCGTTCTATTACTATTATTTTTGCCCATGTTTTTGTGTTCAATTGAGAAAGAAAAAAAAAAAGATTGTGAGAAGAAAATAACAACATGCGAAGAGAGGGAAAATAAAAAAAAACCTTCAATTGTCGACGTGTTCACTGATAAATAAGATAATTGTCCTCTCTAATTGGGATAATTAAAAGAAAATACAATAAAAATTGTTTTTATTTTCTTTGCTGACTTAAGCAAGAGTTTGAGGTGGATTTCTTGGCTCAGCTCTCAAGAAATACTATATATTCAACCAAAAATAGTTAAGAAGTGCTGCAAAAATGCGATTTTCACTTCATCAAAGTGCTGGAAAATTCATTGCTGATTGAAGCGAGAAACACTCGAGTGTAATTTCCCATGTTATTGTAACACATAGCGAGGAAATATATAGTTTTTCTGTAATTCCATGTTTTCAATTATTCCAAGAGAACACGCGCAGGGAAATTTTACACTTAGTGTCATATTTTACTTGCTTGTTTTTACTTTAAAATGATCGACAATGAATTTTGACCAAGTTTTTACACAATTTTGGAGGGAAAATGAGTTCAAATCGACACTTTGAGGACTAATTAGTCCATATTGATCCTATTTTTCCCCTAAAATTGTGTTAAAAAGAAGAAATTTGACACATGTTGTGTCGATAAGTGTCGGTAAGTTCAACTAACTTACCGATATTTCAGCGTAGTAGAAAAACTTCATTAGAAATCAATGAAAATAGCACAAAAATGATGGCTTTCAAAAATACTGTGACTTTCTGTGCTGAAAGTTTGGAAATCTTTAACTCAATAGTCAGTTTATGAATGCTATTTGATTCATAAATAGTCCGATGACTCAATTTATTCAATTTAACACATCTATGTGACAATTCCCTGAAAGGCAATGCATCGAAATCGCAAAAGGAGTGAAATTTTTGAAAAGTGATGATCTTCAAATTCGACTGATTTGAAGCATTTTTTTCGCCTTTTATTCCTCCAAAAGAAAAACGGAAGCATATAAATGGAATAATTGTTGGGATTTACTTGGAGAATTTTCTCTTTAGAAAAGCAATTAAGGCAGTGGTGACAAAAGAGTGTCTCTCTCTCTTTATGTTGCTGCCTGACGAGGTGAAATGCAAAAACAAATTTAAAGAATTATCTTTCTCTGAGGCTTTTTCTTCATTTTTTTCATTGTTTCGTACAAATTTGTACAATAATTTCAATTGCTGTTTCTCTCTCTCTGTTCCTCTTCGCGCGCGCGCTTTTTTTTGTCTGGTCTCCCACCCTCAGCAATTACAATAATTTACGCACTCAGTTTCACTTTCTATTTTACAATAAAAATGAAACACAGAAGACAGTAGAGGAAAGAAAGAAAGAGAGGGGAAAGAGGAGGAAAAAAGATCGACACAGTGACGAAAAAAAGAAGAAATACAGTAAAAATTGCTGTTTTAGAAGCAATAATAATTGCTGGACTTTTCGTGGCTTTGGTTTGAGTGTTTGTGTGTGACTCAGAAAAAGGGAAAGAAAATAATGCGATATTTTTCAGTTGCAACAAACAGTGGACATGATAGAAAAGAAACAATGGATGTGTGGCGAGAGAGAGTGAAACAGAAATTTGTCAAAAGAGAGAGAGAGAGACAAATTTTAAACTATACAAATTCTGTGCAAAAAAAAATTGAATGAAACTCAGTTGAGGAATTCTTTCCACACTTTGGTGACTCCCGGAATTGGGAGCGAAGCGAAGCGTTGCCACATTCACTTACGCCTTCTCGATTAGACAGCTTTTAGCACGTTCCATCAGATGACTTTACCCTGCGCGGGACCTCGAAGGTCTTTTTCTGGCGATTGGCGGCCCTTGAAAACGTCACAGTGACGCGCACTTGAGGGGAACTATTGATGTTTGTTTGGGGATTATTTCTCCGAATTGTCGATTAAGTACTGATAAAACGTCCCAGGATGACCTTATCATCCGTCCAATCGATCAATAATTGCTGATTCTTGAAGAGGAGGTTGAATCTCATCACGATTACCTTCTGAAGAATCCTAACATTGTTGAAAATTTATCTGTTCAATGTAAACAATCGTCAAGTTTCTCATTCCTTTAGCTTTATTAAGGTTATTTTGACCCAGTTTTTGCACTATTTTGGGGGAAAACTGATTAAAATCGACAGTTTTAAAACTAATTAGTCAATATTTGTCCTATTTTTCCCCTTAAATTGTCTTAAAAGCATTCTGTATCGATAAGTGTCGGTATGTTCCCTAACTTACCGACATTTCGACGGAGTGGAATAATTTTCTTAGCGTCTTATCCCACTTGTTTCTTTTTATTTTAAAGTTATTGACACGATTTGCGCACAATTTTCATTTTTAACACAATTCTAGGCGATAAATATAGATAAACTGGACAATTTAAGGACTAATGAGTCCAGTTTTGCTTTATTTTCCCCTTAAATTGTGTTAAAAAGCATTCTGTATCGACAAATGTCGGTAAATTCACTGACTTACCGTCATTTTTACGTAGTGGAATAATACTTATCGACAGTTATCGATACGATTTGCTCACAATTTTCATTTTTAACACAATTCTAGGCAAAAAGTAGTTTAAATCGACAATCTAGGGACTCATTAGTCCAGTTCCGTTTAATTTTCCAATTGAATTGTGCTGAAAGAAAGAAATTGGACGCAATTTGTGTCGATAACTGTCGTTCAGTGTCGAAAACGTCAATAAATTCAACGTGAAAAGGAGCAAATTGAGTAACTCTCTTAGAAAAAGAAGTGTTTATGTGACATTTAAGAGTACAGCATGAAATCAAGACTGTTTTTGCTAATCAAGCTCGAATATCATCTCTTGAAAATATCGCTCATATCGAGAGTGAAAGTATTTTCTTTGCTTTTTATGAAGGAAGGGCGTGTGCTGAGGCGTGCGACATTTAAGCTAAAGAGCGACTCATATCGAAATGCAAATTGACTATTCGCGCCTTTTGATCTCTCAATTTTCATTTCCCTCTAATCACGTAATAATTGGTGCCTATCAAATAAAGTATAACTTTGTGTGGTAATCATGCGAACAGGAATGGGAAATTTACTTCACATTGCATGTTGATTGAAATTTATTGATAGGCTGTTTGTGATTGTTTTTTCTGCCTTCTTCCTTTTTGTATCAGGGAAAAGGAGGAAGAAGGAAAAATGTGACGGTAAATAGCTCAAGTATGTCTAAACGTGGGTGAGAAATGCGGATTTATTTTTTTCCCCGGGAATTTGTCGCGCGGAAAAACAAGTCATAAACAGGCTAAACTTGCAGCGTAAATCAACTATTATCTTTAAATGGGCTGATTAAGAGGTTATATACACTATTAAAGCTGGGGGAAATGTGCTGATTTTTGTGTATTTCTTTCTGACACGACCAAGAACTGTAATTTATTGCTCTATTACGTAGGTTTCAGAGGTCATCTTTAGGAGTGCAAGACTCTTTTTTTAAACACGAAAATTGTGATAGAAACGTTTCTGCTGAAAGAACAACGTAGACTTTTCTCGTTTAAACAATTTTGTTTTAATTTAACTGGTTTTGTGAAATTCTTTCGTTGATAAATTATCGTCTTTGGCAGGGAAGAAACTGCAATCAAATGGTTTGTTGGCACTTTCAAGGGGGAGATAATATGCTTTTAATCTGTACATCACTTCCAAAACACTTCCAGCACTTTCAATTTTTAGACTGTTTACGGTTCAATAGAAAATTTCTCAAAATATCCACTGAAAACCGTTTTTTTGAGCGTCTTTTCCGATCATAACCTCAAAATGATCACTAAAAGGTCTTAAAATACTGAAAATGGAAGCTTTTTAGATTATAAAATACTCACTAAACTCAAAATTGCTGTAGAAAGTGGTTTACAGTACTCTTTTTGAGGTTATGTTCGACATCAACACAATTCGCAGTGTTTTTTTGCATCAAAGACTCAAAAAATCAATACTTATCGCATGAAAATGCTTAATTCTGTCAATTATTAGCAATCTTGGTAACTTTATCGTAAGAATTGATGTGCTTGAGTGCGAAATATTCACTAAATTTGTCCGTAATTTGCTACATAACCTAGAAAAGGATTGTTTCTAGGAAACCCAAAGAATCGGGATGATTTGGCGGTAAAAGAAGCACTCAGGGAAGGAAGATTGTGAGTTTTTGAACACTTCCACTTAGCTGTACACCACTTCTGACTGTATTATCTTCCCCTTGGACAGTTTGTGGGTTGAAAAGCATTTTCCTCCTGAATTCAGTGATGTACGGAAATGATACATATTGACGCTATTTTCCAGTAGTAAAAGAGTGAAACTAGTGAGAAACGGCAATGTATTTGTTAATCAGAGAGCAAGTTTGTGGTGAGGCAAGTGAGTTTTGTTAGTTGTTTGTGGGTCAGAAAAATAGCCAAAGAGCCCTTGCGGCGATATTTTTCACACTGCGCTATGGCGCCAAATGATTTAGCATCAAAATATCAACTCCAGTGTCACCACTCTTCTTCCCCACACACATCACTGTGTCAAAAAAAGAGTTAAATAAATTGACACTCTCAATTATTGCGTGATTTATTTTAAATGAACTCTTATTTTTCACTGGTTCTCCCTCGCACAATTAATGGCCTTTGAAGCATATAGAAGATTACATTGTTGCAAATTGAGTAGAGAGAGAGAGAAAAACAAGAAGTTGTGCAATAATTAAACATTTTTTTTTCATTTATGTATATTATAATCGCTCTAATTGATTGATTGCTCAGCTAACCACGGCTTATTTTCTTCCTCAATCTCGTTTGCAGAGTCAGAATCAGACACGATCGAATGGGAATGTCGTGAGTGGGGGTGGTATTCAATCGATCGCGAACACCACCAACAACAATGTGATCGGCGGTGCTCCGAGTGGCAGCAACAAGAACTACAGTGTCTCACTGTCGCACAATGGGGCGCCTCCGCAGCACTCCCTTCTGCAGCAGCAACTGATTGTGGCGGCGGCGCAGCAACACCAGCAGCAGCACAATCACAAGATGATCCTCCACAGTGCACTGCAGAGGGCCGTGAGTCATCCCCATGGAGCCGCTGGAGCTGCTGCAAATGGTGCTAATGTGGCCACGTTTGTCAACACCATCATTGAGAATCTGGGCGGTCACCGAAAACTGGAGAGGACACAGTCGGAGCCACTACCTCAAGTCAATACTTCAAGGTGAGTTCTTCATCTTTCGCGTCACAATCCAGATAATTGGTGGGCAATTTGCATTTAGCACGAAATTTGATCACTTTGACGCATCACGACTCGATTGAGTGGGTTTTATTGGACAGAAGATTAGAATAACACAAAAATTACACCCAATGAAACATTTATTGTGTGTTTTTCAATTACCTGAACGGTAGAATCGATCTCAATTCCACGGATGAATCGAAAACTATGAAAAAATTGGCTCAAATTGTAGTCAAAAATGCATAAAACGCCTCTTTGATAAATATATTAACTCTAGATTTGTCATATTTTTTCATTCTTTCACTTGAAACTTTGATTCAAAGTTTGAACTATTAAAAATCCTCCTGGGAATGTAATATTTTCAGTTTTTCTATTAATTTTCCTATTTTTCAGTCAAATTTTTAAATAAATGCCAATAAAATCAACTGAAATATTCACAAAATAATTATTACAGAGCAATATTATCACTTTAAATGACGATTAGAAGGTATTTTGATGATTTTGACGTAATTTGTGACTTTCCATACTCTTTAATTCACCTGTTGAATTAGGTTTTTTTTTAATTTACACTCATTATTTTGTGTGTGTAAAAAAATGCGATGAAGAGTTATTAATATGAAGCGATAGAGTGACTTGTGGATGATGTTATGCGTGTGTAATTATAAATGATGAATTCATTGACATTTATTTCTAATTTCTGTCAAATCTTATGAAATGTGATTAATCGCGATGGAGATTCACGAAATCCAATCTCTCACGAGATTTTGTCTAATGCAATCGGAGTTTTTCTGCAATCTTTCAGACGTTTTTTTTATTTTCTTACGGAAAATTGATGAAATAGACACAGACAAAAAAGAATGTCGGTGAAGTTATTGCGAATCAATGATTGTCATGTTTTTTTCCACGAAGTGTGAGCAAATTTTGATATCTGTCGTCTTTTTTTTAACTAATTTATCGTCTCATCAAATCAGTCAGTGATCAAGCAAAGAAAAAGTATGATTTGGAAACGAGTTAATGTGTAATTTTCATTCGATCTGACTTCATATTCCCATAGAAATGTGGAAATGCGTATGTTTTTGCTCAATTCTCTTTATTTTCGGCTCTCTTGTTTAAAGCAAGGGGCAGATATTACGGTCGGAAGTGGTGTACGGCTTGAAAGGAAGTGTTTAGAAGTGGAAGTGGCAAAATATATTAGAATATTTGCACTGAAAAAGCTTCCATTTCAACCAAATTGAGGCATTTTCCTCATTAATTTTGCTTCAAAATCACTTTTATTGCTTTTCTGAGGTTATGTTTAATTAAAAAACAGATTAAATTGTCAAATTTCTATGTTTCTTGGCAGATTTGAGCATTTTTGTGCGGAAAAAACTTCATATTGATTGAGAAAGAGCCTAAAAGTCAACCATAACCTCAAAAATATCACTTTAATTGCAGAAAAATGTCTCTTTGCCTTGGTTATTTTCGCGATTTTTACTTTACAAGAATATTTAAAGTGCAAAAGCTTCCGTTTCAATAAATTGAGGTATTTTTTCTTATTACTTTGACTAGAAAATTGAATTTTATCGCTATTTTTATAGGTTATGTGTGAAAAAAAACCCTCAAAATCATCTAATTTGTGTTTAAACAGAGAATTTTTCTCTTTTCTTGGTAAAATTAAGCATTTGCGTTCGAAAAAAACTTTAAATTAGGTTAGAAAACATCTTAAAGTCAACCATAACCTCAAAAATGTCTCAGAAAATTCTCTTTGTTTAGGTTTTTTTTGGCAATTTGTGACAAAATCAATCTAATAATTCAGTGAAAACATTATGATATTCGCCATTTTTTACTAATTTCCAGGTTGAAAGTATATTTTAAGGCAAAATTCATAACCTCACAATTTATTTAGAATTTATTTTCAAGCATTTTCTGAAGATTAAACTAGAAAATCACGACAGAAATTGTTCATGAACAAATTCAGGGGCGTGAAAATCATGTTTTACGATCAGAAATCTGAAGGATTTGAAGAGTTTAAACTTCTTGAGATGGAAAAACCCGGATTAGCTTTGTGATAAGTCAGAATTGAGTGTGAGAAAGAGTTGAAGGAGTGGAAAAAGCGATGGAGAATGCATTTTAAGGGGCGCTAAGAAGTGTTGAAGATTCTGCAGAAGAGTTGCGGAAATGTTTGAAAGTGGTGTACACTGTTTAGCCGTATTATCTCCCCCTTGGTTTAAAGTGAAAAAACATCAACTTGTTGCTCAGTGGGTAATTTTTTAGTTTTCAAGAGTGAAGAGGGCATTATTTGTATGGGATATTTGGGATGATGGCGCGACTTGTTGCGCGCGCTCGCGCGCACGCTTCAGAAGCAGCATTATATTGTGCAGCAACAAACAAGCCAGCCAACATAATCACAATAATAATAATAAAAGACAGAAACACAAAAACCTTGGAAAAGTGAAAACGGTAAATTATCGAGTCGCGAAAACGTTATGAAACTCTCAATGTGGCTGCTGCTCAATCAACTCTTTTCCCTCTCTTTCCGCCTCTCTCTCTGGGGCCTCATCAACTGTGTCATCTCTGTCCTCCTCGCTCGCTCTCTCTCTCTCTCACTCTCTCCGTGTTGCGGCCAAAGAAAGCAAAAGTCTATAAAAATTTCCCCCCTTTTTATCACATCTTACCACACTCTATGAATGCCCTCTAGGTGTTTTTACGCAAAAGAAAGAAAAATGAATACACGGCGAGCGCGTGTGTGTGAGTGAGATAAGTCGAAGAAGTGAAAGTAAAATGTTGGAGACAAGTTGCAATTTTTACTTTCATTCTCCGCATCTCATTGAAAATGAATTTATTATACACACATAGCGAGCTTTTATATATATAAATGAAATGTCTGTACATAATGTGCAAGCGAAGATATGCACAAGATAGATTGAATGTCTTGCACATTCGGAACGAGATAGACTGCTCCGAGACGGACGGATGATTGCAATTAAGGTTTCTCGTATATTAGAAGAGAGACCATTTGTAAAATCTGTAACAGCGAGTGAGCATGTATAAAATCACGTAATTAATTATCTTTGGCTCATTCAACTCCGACTAACATTGTTGTTTCTCTCAATTTATTTACTGATTTATCTCGAGAGTCAGTCTTGCACGGGATTGTTGCGAGTTGAATGGCAGTGCGATGATTAAAATCCAGTATAATATTTGGAGCTCACCTCACTTTACACATCATCACCTCCTTTTCACAGAGTTTCTTACAAACGCTCTTTTCAAGCAGTCGTTGCAACTTTATTATCATGACATTTTAAATAAGCTGTCCAAAATATGAATTGAATAATCAATTTATTTCCTATCAATTCATATATTTCGTCGCATGAAGGCAAGAAAAGGCGGAAAATTCGCGTGAAAACCAAGAAAATAGACCGTAATGATGATTTTAGATTGATTTGCACAGATTGATTGGATTTTTCGGGTCATTTATACTCATTTCCATGCACCAAATTGAGGTTATGTTATTCCAAGGTGTCCTTTGATCCTTTCGCTCTATACCATTTTTAATAAGTTGTCATAAATATTATTTCGCTAATAAGTGTTGCAAAATTACGGTTCATTTATTATACAAATGTGGGGAATTTATCTTCTGCGAGACGTGAAATGTTTCAAAAACTGGAAAATTCACGTGAAAACCAAAGAAATAGACAATAATGATGTTCTTATGAACATAAACTTATATTTATTGGATTTTTATGACTATTTGTGCACATTTCATTGCACCAAATTGAGGTTATGTGTTTCCGGACATCCTTTGCCAGGAATCTAATTGCGTTTAGACAGCATTTAGAAGCACTTTTGGTGTCTGTTTCTTCTATCTCAGTACGAAATACATTTCCCTGGACATTCTGGACAGAAGAATTCTTAAAAAACCCGATCGGAAACACGCCCAATGTTAGGAACAGATGTCTTGTCACTGGGATTTATATTTTCGCCCTGTTTAATTTATTTTTCGCGTTGAAAACGTCCCTCAGCGGCGAAATTCCTAGAAGTTCCTTGAAATTAATTTAGGAGAAACACCAAAATTGTGTTTTACGTACTGTAAAGAACCTTTTCTTACTTTTAAGCGGAGGAAAATGAACAGAAACAGGGCTTAAGTAGGAAAATTCTGTCCTAGAAACAGAAATTGAAATTCTGAAGTTGAAATTCCTATTAAACTCTAAACTTCTCTTTGCAACGCCTTCTCGAGCGGCCGTCAATATAAGCTATGAAAAGCGTAAGGTTGCAGCGTGCATTCGTAGCTTTTATGAAGTGAAATAGGGAATTTGTAATGTTGCAACGACCTGTAAGAGTGCGTCTGTGGCACAATCTGTAAGAGTGTTCTCTCTTATCGCAGAGCGGTCGTGAGTTCGAGGCCCATCGAATGTTAATGCGTGATTTCAGGGCAGCAAGAGCAGCAGAAGTGAAGCTATTCAATGGCACAAGACTGCTTGTTTTGTGAATACACTGGGCGATTGATAGAGAAAATACTTGTGAAATGTCGACTGAAGAATGTCGCTTTGCGGATTTATTTATTTTATTATAATGCACATGAACCTGGCCATGTCGTGTCTCTCATCGTATTGTTATTTAAAATGTTTTCTTGTTAGTTTTGTGAGCTCTAAAAATGAGTAATTCCTTCATAAATGACTTGCGTCATTGTATTTTTAGCGCTGATTATGCCATGGAGTTTTTTTTTCAATTGTCTTAATTGTGCAAATTTCCATTTAGTATCTGATTTAGTTACACGTGGAGTGTGTGTTGAGATTTTTTCTTTCTTTTTTGCATTTCATATTGATGAATTGACGACTTTTTATGCTTGTCTATATGAAAAACACTTGAGAAACACACCACAAGTTCCCATTTTTTTCCACCCATGCACGATATTGAGATTTTCTGAAGATATTTTCTACCCGCTTGTATGATTAATTCCTATGCGATAAGATTATAAGTGTGTTTTGCAATTGAGAAATCCCAAAGTCAGTGAATCACTCTTGCTGAATTCTTTCCCTTGGAATCCATAGGAATCTTTCTGACAGGAATGTTGCGCGTGTGAATTGGTTTTATTTTGACCTTAAGAATTCCTTGTTTATTAGCAAGAATATTGAAGGCTTTTCGCATCATCTTTGCCATTTGGGAAGATAAATTGCATAGGGGCAAACGGGGCAGTTTCGTTTTCTGGAATTCTGGAATTCACACAATGTTTGTAGTCCTTAAGGCCCCCAATTGACGGAAATTTGCACAAGATAGCCTTTACTGTTCGTTGAAAAGTGAGGAAATACACGCAAAAATCACTGATTAGAGCGGAAATTTCGAGAAACACATTTTGCGCTGAACTTTCGCGGCGCATCAACTTGCCACTACTGACGCTTGGTGGCGTTGCAATGCGTGAAACATGACAGAAATTTTGACATAACATGCAAGGGTATAGAAAAGTCGCGAAAATAGTACTTTACAGGCGATTTTTAGGGAATTAAACAATCTCAGTGTGTAGATTAGAAAGCAAAGTGAACATTTGCTTGCAATTCAACAATTCCACGATGGAATTTATGGTAAATAAAAGTGCATTCTAACACTGCCCCACGTCGACACGAAACCTCCCCGTCAGGGGCAGTTATAGAATAATTACAATATTAATTAACATTCTTTTTTAGAGGAAAAACCATCCGTTTAAATGCCCAATGAAAGGCATTTTCTGAAGCTCAATAGACGAGAGTTTGTGATTATTGCAATATATTTAGCTTCTTTTGCAAGAAGTAATCTTAAAATTGGAACAGCATTTTGTATCTGACACTGCCCCATTTTCCCCTATATTTTCTTTTTGTGGAATTTTTTGATAACAGACTTAGTAATAATGTTGCAAAATTGACTGCATTTCGAAGTTTGGGGATGATAAAAATGTCTATTGGAAATTTTTCAGTCTTAACTTGCTTAAAGATCACCTCAAGATTTCCCTGATTGTTCTCTAACTCACTCTCTCTCTCTCTTCTTGCCTATTTTTCCAGATACAAGACTGAACTCTGTCGACCATTCGAGGAGGCGGGCGAGTGTAAATACGGTGATAAGTGCCAATTTGCTCACGGGATGTACGAGTTGAGGAATCTCCAGCGTCATCCCAAGTACAAAACGGAACTGTGCCGAACGTTCCACAGCGTGGGCTACTGTCCGTACGGGCCGCGGTGTCACTTTGTGCACAATGCCGAGGAGGCGCGCCTGGGTGTGCAGAATCAGCAGAATTCCGTGGCGCTGCAGCAGCAGCGTCTTGTGTTGCTGAACAGAGGCGGCGGCGCCGCCGCCGCGATGGCTTCGGGTCAACTTGGCGGCGCTCTGCCACTCAGTCCGGCCCTCAGCATGTCCACGGGCAGCGATCGTGCCAGTCCCACTGGCTCCCTGTCGCCCACCAACAGCGTGCCGAGCTTCCTCAGTGCCGGCGACATTGCCGCCTCGCCGGCAGTCGATGGGCCGCTGATGGCTCACGCGATCTTCCCATCAAGTGGCTTCATGGCGCCGCCGCCACAGCCACCATCCCTCAGTCCGCCGCAGAGTCCCCACGAGCTGAGCCCCGTCGCAACGCCTCCGCCAGAGCTGGAGACGCGACTCCCAGTGTTCAATCGGCTCAGCTCCACCATTGACTCCCTCAACAATCTCGCCATCTAAGCTGAGTCGCCATTCGCAGGCAAGTTATCTCAATGTCTAGAGAGAAAGAGAAAGAAAGTGATTTTCTGTCTTGCGAAAAGGAAAGAATTCTCCAAATCTATCAGAAAGTGCTAATAATATTGGTTGTTCTTTAATACAGAGAAAGTCAGTGAGAATATATATGTTTTAAAAAAGCACCAGGATGGAAAATGACTTCGGAGAAAATATATGTCATAACTTTCGAGCGATATTTATACAAGAAAAACAAAAAGGCAAAAAGAGAAGACAGTGAATTCTAAGAAAGCGTAAATAATAGTATAGAAAAGCGATGAATGGGAAAAAAGCGTAAATTATTTTAATTATATCCAGAAATAACATAAGTCATTAATTTATTTTGTGCTATTTTTTTTCAATATTTTTTACACTTTATATAACTTTGTATCCTCTTATAATGCAACTTTTTTTTTCTTTGATTTTTAATAGAAGAAATATTCAATTTATTGCAAACTATCGATAATCCATTTGAATATAATTCATTTGAAAAGAAAATTTGGTATTTCACCCAATTTGTGCCTTATTTGAATTAATTGCGATTGAAGTTGGAGATGAATTGAAATGATAGTTTTTGACAAATGAATCAATATTTTCTTTTGCAACCAATGTTCTCGTTTCATTAAGTTAACCTTTTCTTTTTTTAATGTTTTATAACCAAGAGTAATAATTTCTTTTTTTGAAGTAAATTTAACTGAAAAAAAGTTGATTGGTAAGAGTGATAAATGAGATAAGAAAAAATAACCACGAATATTTTTTTATACTATTGAATTAAAATATTATTTATGTAAATAAAAAGGGATTCCAGGTATATTAGAGATAGTAATTTAAAAAAAAGGAAAGAAAAAACAACAGAGCAAATTTATGAATGATAGAAATACATTGATTTAGTAATAAATAAGTGATGGTGATGATTTGAAAAATTAATTTACACCAAGAACAGTTAAATGGAGTGTCATTTTTTTTTTTGATTTCTACGATGTGTAAATTATATTAGTTTATAGATTAATATTGTCAAAATGTCTTAAAAATCTTCTGTCTAAGTTTATTTTTCTTCTTTTCTTTTTGATTAATTTCACTTTTCTGCTTCAAATTCTTCCATAAATATATATTTCCGATAATAAGAGAGAAAAAGAGAGAGATAAATTGGGAAAACAGTGAATTTTCGGCTGTGTTTTGTCGTGGGTGTGTTTTTGAATGTGCTAAAGAATTAAAAAAACATGATTCCTTCTTTGTTTTCTGCCACAATTTCCCAATTTCTATCGGACAAAATCATTAACCAAAAAAAACAACAGAGAAAGAAAGAAAATTGGAAGAGAAATTCTCGCGATAGGAATTCTTGTTTCATGTCGTCTTTTGACTGATCTTTTAAGTTAGAAAGCAGATATTTATGTTTGTTTCCTTCTTCTTAAATAACATCCAGATGGTCAATAGTAATTAATAATAATTTAATAATTATTAACATAATGAAATTGAAAAGGAAATTTTGCCAGTGAATTTTATTTAATATGAAATATAAAATGCTAATAAATCTTTTTTCTAATCTCAATTCTTCTTTTTGTCCACATTTTCCCAAAATTTAAAGTTTTAAAATTTTAAAATGATATATTTATGTATTTAATTGATTGAGATAATGAAGAAAAAAATTAAGACAAATAAGAAATAAAGTTATCGAAGGGGCCATTAATATGCAATTTGTATGTGTTATAGCAAGAAATACGGAAATAAAATTAATTTTTAGGTTATTTCTTGTAATTTTTTGTCAAAATATTTTCATTTTATGTTCGCTATATATGTATAAAATGTACATATATCATTGCAAAGGATTTATTTCTACACTGTCTAATGATTTTTTTTGTGTATTTTGATAGAAGAACATCTAAAGACGTTTTCTTTTTTATATTTTATGAACATTTTTTTTTCTATATATATATTTTAATGTGTATTTTGTATGTATACTATATATATGGATTATGTATACATAGCTTTAATATCAAGTAATTCTTATATTTTTTTTTCCTTTGAAAATTTCAATATTTTCTAAGACAAACCTTTCGAATTGCAATAAAGAGAAACTTGAAAGATCAGAATTGTGTGTATAAAAAATGGAAGTTGACGAAGAAGAAAAAAATGCTGTTCTTTTTCTAAATAACAATGAAAGTAAAAAAACAAAAAGACAAATTTTTATATACAAAAATTTTTTTAAGAGTAAGAAGAAGAAGAAGAAAAAAGATAAGAGAAAAATCAAATGTCTTCCGCAAAAGTGAATTTGATGCATAAAGCCGAAAAGATATACAAAATATTTCTATTTTTTACTATATGAAATATTATTGCTTGGCTGCCTTTTATGATTAATTTGCATTGATTATGAAATGGAAAGAAAAGAGAAAAGAAAATACTGAAGAAAGAGAGAGTAAATGATAAAGAAAGATATCCAAAATATATGTAATTCGAGAAATATTCTATTTAGACAAACTTTAAGCGATACAAAAAACCTATTTATTTCGGAGTAATGACAAGTACATAATATTATCTACTATAAAGCAAAAGAAAATTCCCTTTTATATATATATATTTTACTACATTAGCGCATCGATCGTTGGAAGATAATTTGGCGATGCGTTGGCCAAAATATTTGCCAACGAGCGATGCTTTTCATTCTTATTTAAAATTTGCATTACGCATATCTTTTTTATTTCTCTATAAAATGGTGTTCCAAAAATTGTCGCACGCAAGTTGAACAATATTATATTTTTGCATTTCATTCATTAGAGCGATTGCAGACTTGCGGATTACCCTCGAATCGACGGGAACTGGGATCAATCCTCCGTGGATGAGCTTGGAGTGTCTAAAGGCGCAGATCAGCGATAATTCGTGGTTGATCTGCGTCTTTACACACTCAAATTGATGGATCAGCCATAATTCGTGGCTGAACTCAGAGATTATTCTTTGTCGACACTAGCGCCACTGTGTTTGGTGTGTTCAGCTGTCAGTCGATTTGCATACTTCAAAAGCGTGAAATTTTACGTTAAAATTGCGAAAATTGATGATTCGCAGAAGAATTTAATGATTTTAACAATCCAGGAAATCAATCACAAGAGAATTAATCGCGTTTTCTGGCTAAGCGAACTGTTGTTCACACTCGCGCTCTCGCTGAACCTCCCGTGGATAATCGACTAGTCTGTAATCGCTCTTAGACTCCCTTCAACATTCCAGGATTCTGTTCCACGCCCTCCGAATGAAGAAAACAGAAAAAAAGAAACAATTCAGTAGACAATAATAATAATAATAATAAAAGAACTCAAAACAGCCAGAGAATTGAAAAGAGAACCACAATAAATATAAAGTGTGACAATTTTTTTTATATGTTCTAATTTATTTATATTAGTTTTTAAGTCCAATGAATTTTTTTTTGTATATTGTATAATTCTCCCTCTTTTCACTTATAATTATTGCATATTTTATTTATTTTTCTCTCACTCGTTTTTTTCACGCAGGGAGAAAAGAAAATTTACTATAAAAAAGAATCCATTTACTTTTTTTTATCTATATATATATATATATTTCTACTGCAACAAGAGAAAAAATTGTAGATAAGCACAGATTTGTAGTTTAGCTGATGTGTTAATTGGGATTTCTCACAATTGATTTGTATTTATTCTCGAAAAAATCAACCCTTAATTTTTGAATGAAGCCAGAAATGATTTGAAATGAATCAACAACAATAAAAAATACCAAATCTTATTGAGTGACAAAATTTTCCGTTGATTCTTGAAGTGAAATCCCAGATCGCAAAAATTCAGAGGAAATTGAACATTTTTCAATAGATTACATTTCTTCTTTTTTTTTGATAAAATATATAAACTATATATACACAACATATTTTAGCTTGTAATATTTATATGAGAGATATTTTATGATGGAAACGATTGATTTTTTAACTATGTATGTAATAATGTTTTTTTTATTTCTGCATATTCAGCAGTTTTTTTTCTCTCTCTTTGTCTCTGAGAAAGCAAAAAAGAAAGAAAAATACTGCAAGGAAATTTTTTTTTCGAGGAAATACCCTGAAATATAATTTAACAAAAGAAAACATTTATTTAATAATTTATTTCGCAACACTTATTACAATTTTTATATGAATTGACTATAATTATATAAACTTATATATGAATGAAAGTGAGGAAAAAAAACAACAAAATATTGATATCTCAAAGAAAAACCAACTGATTTTTTATTGAAAAATTACATTATATTCGAAAAAGAAGTACACATAAAAAGTCGTAAATAAAAAAAAAATTAAAAATTAAACCATGAGTTTTTACTTGCGTCCTTTTTTCGGCCTTTTCTATCCTTGTGCGTGACTTTCTGCTCTTGTTCCTGAGCAAGAAAATCAGTGAAAATGTCAAAGATGACTTTCTTGAAGGTAAGTTGAATTTTTTGCCAAATTCTACTGATTTTTTGGATTTATTTTTCATTTTTGGGCTGGAAACTATCATAATAATCCTCATTAAAGACCGATTTTGTGAATAATTCATGCTAAAGTCGAAAAGATCGCTAGTCAATTAACGAAATTAGGCTTGAAACATTGTTATTCTGAATTTGATACACAGGAAATTGTGCAAAGATTAAACATAACCTCAAAATATTGATTTGATCTTGGAATATGTTTATTTAGAGAACTTTCTGGACGATTTTGCCTTTGAATCAGTAGTTTTAAGGTTCATTGGCGAATCATATCTTATGATTTTGGGATCTAGAAAGCTTCCAAACGGAATCTTTGAAGATTTCTTGGTAATATTTTGAGGCTATGATAGGAAAAGATGTCCAAAACAACCGATTTTAAGTGGATATTTATAGAAATATCGAAACACAATTTTTCTAAATTACATAATTAGTAATTTTTAAATTATTTCTATGGTAAATCATGAATTTTTGGAAAATAGTGGGCAAATCAAAGGGGAGGTAATATGGTCGAAAGTGGCGTACAACTCAGCAGAAGTTCTGTGGATTTCTTTTAATTCCTTGCGCACAAACAACAGCAAAAATCTTTTTCAAGGTTATGTGACGAATCTGTGACGTTTTTAGTGAATAATTCGCATTATAAGACATCAAATCATGTACTGAAGTCGGAAATATCACCAATTATTATCATAATTAAGCATTTGCATGCAAACAACATTGTTATTCTGATCCTTTTGAAGCCTTGAAGCACTGAAAATCGTGATTAGGTTGAACATAACCTCAAAAATAATCATTTAGACCTGGAAAATGGTTATTTAGAAATCTTTCTGGGTTATTTTGAGTCTAAATCAGCAATTTAAAATTCAATAGCAACTCATAAAATATGATTTTGTGATCCTGAAAGCTCCCAAACAAAGATCTCTTAGGAATATTCTTAGATTATGATTGAAAAGATACCTAAAACAAAGCTTTTAAATGAATTCTTACAGAAATATTTGATAGGAATTTTAACAGATTAATTATCATTTGACAATTTTTTACAAACAACCTAAGAATTTCATGTGCTGGATGTGTTAGGAAGTGATGAACAGATTTAAATACACGAGTCGAAATGCCGCAATCATGTGGCCGATAGTAAAGTGTGAAAATCACTTATAAGTCACGTAGAATTTTACATAGAAGCTGAGCTTATATTGTGTAAAAGATCACACATTAGTGATGTTTTCTGATGTTTATAAGTTTGAGAGAAGAAGAAAAAAACTTCAAAACGCGAAGTGAAACGACAGTTAAATGCTAGAGCGCTTCACGAGGCTGAGCGTGAGTTGCGATGTTAAGTTTTCTGCTATGTATTCACTTGGGAATATTGTGTAAAATAGCGTGTAATCACGTGAAGTTGTTACAAAGTTGCATCGCCAGGCTAAAGAGAATATATTTTGGAGGTCAGAAATTCAAAGCTCACAACTTTGACTTTCCAATGACTTTCCCTCGGTGACAATTTATCTTTATACGGAAAATGTTTTATTTTATCTTTATCACCGTTGACGGTTGAGTGAATGTGTGCAATACCTAAAAGTTGATGACTGATAAGATACAGTTGCGAGCTTGAACTCCTCATGAGTTTTCTTGAGCGAAGCTCGACTCTATCTGTAATCGCGCAAAAAGTCAAATATCCGCAAAATCGACTAAAATGACATCAGGGAGGCTGATTAAGACGATATTTGACGAAAAAAATTGGGGTCTTTTTTTTGGTTTCCGTCCGTCTGTCCGTCGGGCGGTCGGTCCGTAGTAAATGGACTTGTAGCGCCTAAACGGTAAGAGATATCAACATGCGGTTTTCACCAAAGGTTAAAAGTTCTTCTGCCGCTAGAATTTGATGATGTCAAATTAGCACCCCACCCCTCCGTCCGCCATTTTGCATACAACCAAAAAACGTTTTACTCATTTGCTCAGCCCCTATGGCATGAATTGGACCCAAATTCTGGTATGTTATAGCTGGAATCAAGACCTTTCCAACGAATCGCCACTGAAAGACCTAGATCCTTCCGGACCCTAGATATTAGTGTCCAAATTTTCAAAACTGAAAATGACTATAACTCTGGTTCTAATTATCCGATTTGAATAATTCAAAGCTCATTAGAAAGATCTTGTAAAATGCCATCTCCCACCCAAACATCATAACTTGGTAGGACCACCGCTAGAGGCACTAAAGTCGGAAAAACCATTTTCAAAATTTCAAAATCAAATAATTTGAAAACTAGATTTTCAATTTTCTTTAAATTTTAGTATGTTGTAGCTGAGGTCGAGACCTTTCCAACGAAGTCCCAGTCATGAAGATTGAAATAATAGGAGGGGAGATATGGGGAGTCAAAGCTCGCGTCTTTACCGGCCTCTATCTCTATATAATATTTAAGTCCCAAATTTTGTCTAAAGTCAAAATATTTTGAATGAAGTTTTTAGATACTTTGATAGTCCAGATTGAGACGTTTCTAAAATGTGTTTATACTTTTTAATCAATGCCATAGAACCCGAGATATAGCTGTTTAAATTATGTAAAAGTGATAAGAACGATGACGTTTCGCTTTCATATTGCTCATTATGCGCCCTCTAATGTTGCTTTCGCTAACGAATCTACTGAATTGCCTACTTTGTAGCAATTGAAATCGCAGCCAGCATCGTTAAATTAAATTCAATTAGAATAAATTAGATCGAAAATCACTTTAGCTTAACCTCAAATCGAGTCTGTCACATTTAGAGTTG